GGCTTGCATATATATATATATATATATATATATATATATAAATGCCCTCTTTTATGTATAAAAGAGGGCATTTAAGCACAAGTCAGAAATGGGCAATTTGAGAAAGTTCAGCAAAATACAACATTATATAGTGACTGGCATCTGATGTGGGACATGCAGAAATAACTGGCCCAGACTGTACTGGTGGGAGAGCAAAGGTGTTCCCTTGGCCTTTGCAGGTCCCACACAGTTGCAGTCCCTGTGATTGGAGGACTATTCCCTCCCTATTCCTTTGGGGAGAGGATTGGGAAAAACTTGTGGGCTATGGCCAGGCCCTCCTCCCATACTGGCCTGTGGAACAGGATGGCCTAGTGATGGGAGGGAGAAGCTGCACTCCCCAATAGCAACTAGGGCAGGTCCGTGCCTAAGCAGCATGAATGAGCACTCTGAAATCATGTTCTGTTTTTGGTGCCAAAGTCCACAAGAGAAAGATAGAGAATCTAATAACAAAGGGAATGATGTTGAATTGAAAGCTCCTGTGATTATTTTTAATAGAATAGGTAGCTAATACATACAGTGCTTTCTAGAGGAAAATATATACATGGTTTTAAAAAAAGCTTCAAAGCAGTTTTATAACTGCTGTCCTTCTTTCCATTCACTGAATGGATCTGTTTTCTCTCTCACTGAGAGCTGACATTTTAATGATGCTTTCCAGCAGGGGTCCAGTTTGATGATGCAAAGGAGTGAAAGAATTGGATTTACCATTAGGAAGCATTAGGAAGCAGAAAGTTTGAACATTTTCATACAATAAATTCTGTAATTTTAAAACATTGTTTGTTAATTGAATAGTTTAATTTTTTTTTAATTACAGAACTTACCTTCCAACAATAAAACTTTCTGACTCATTCTTTCAACATCTAAGCCAGTCCTTTCCAGCCTACTTTCATTAATGTCTCACTTTCTTTTTTAAAGGGACAAAGTCATCTTCATCTTCTGTTACCTACAATATCTCTTTAACTTGCAGGGATTAAATACTATGCCTGATAATGTCATCCACATTGTCTCCCTCTACTGGCCACTATACTGAGTGCATCTCTGCAGAGCCTCCTATCATACAGTGTTATGCACTGCAAAGAGACAGCTCATTGCAACAGCCTGTGTGACTTTCAGGAGTTGCTTTTCCCTGAAGGCCAAAGATCCAGGATACGATGACTTCCCCCATACGCTGTGGAGCAGGGGAGCAAGAACTAGGAGATTATGCAGCCATGCACTTGGGGTGTCACTGACCCAATGTATGAGATTTTGAATACTTCCCTTGGATCAGCAGCATGGAATTAAGCAGAAGATGTGAGTCACTCAGGAGCTGTATTGTGGGACCCTTCTTCCATTTTACAATGGTCCCTTAGGGCAAATGGAAATTAACGTAATCTTCTGTTTACGTTTGTAATCGATCTTGTCTCTGTAGCTTTTCATGCTATAAAAATATTTTAAGCAGCAGATATCAGTTGCTTTAGTGTTGCTTGTATGCATTCGATGTGAGCCTGCTTCCACTCTGACACTGGAAACTGCCAGTGTATATTTACTGCTTGGAGCCTCCCTTTTGGGAAAAGGAATATGTGCATATAAAACTGCCTAATGTAGCTAATTTCTTTCCTGGAACTATGCTAAACATTATGGATAGATTATATTATGTGCACATCTATATACCTCTTCTTTGTTTTGTGACATTACAAAGCAACGCTAAATGTATGATTTATATATTTTGCAATATACCTTACTATAAAGTCAGTAGCACCAAAGGATATATTTCAACATTTTGCTGGATTATTATTTCATTTTACTTTAAAATCTGATTTAAAAAAATAGGACAGATCTCCCCCATCCTCTGAGAGAGAAAACCCATGGGAGGGAATGAGATGAGGAGGAAAAGAAAAATCTGCAAGATTCCTCTGAGATTCTTCCAAATTCTTTCCTCTGTGTTTCAACAATCCCTCCATGCTCCAATGAAAAAGCAGGTGGTTTGGTCCCCCATGCATCATGGGTCCCAAAGATTTGCCAGAGGCACAGACCTACCTATCCAGGGGCCCTGTTCCACTCACTTTCTGTGGCTCTCTTTCAGCTCCCTGTCAGCACAGCTCTGCTTCTGCTTCTGCATGGATTGCCCTGTGCCTTCGAGATCTACAAGTTTGACTTGCCAGACCCTCTGCTCCTTCCAAATGGGTGGAAGTGGACTATTGTAAGAGAGGTAATGAACTCCAGCAATAGTTTTAAGCTTTCTGTTTTATAGTTGCCTGTTTGATGCAGTATGTATGTGTCTAGACATCCTTGCAAATTTGGTGAGTGGGAAAATTTCATACAATACCCTCCCTCTCCCCACATTCTATTATTTAAGGTCTATTGCCAGTCACATGTTGTGGTCTGATGACTTGTCTTAATTTTCAATAATATCTTGTTTTAACATTGCCTTGTTTGGATCTATAAATGCAGATTCCATTAAATGTTCAGTCTCTTTAAGATTAAGAGCAAGAGTTGTTTTGTATTCACAAGCCTGATTGATGAATTTAGAAACATCTGCTACATTCTGTATCCAAATTCTAAACCTGGTCCCAATGGCCAGGGAGCTTCAGGACATGTTTTCTTTCTGCAAAGATGAGAGTTGCTTTGCTGTAACTTCTTAAGATAAAAATGACTGCCCTGACGTTTCTTATCCACCTATGAATTTTAATACTATACAAAAAAGAAATATTAATCACTAAGCAATAAAAACAAGGTAGTAGTCATGGCAATACTGAGATATAAGAGTGTTTTATTGTAATATTCATCACATGCGTGACTGTAATATGGAATGATGAAATAGTCTCCCAATGGGAATGATAGAAACTCCTTTATTTGAATTATTTAAACCCAGACTGGTCAAAACACTAGAAAATGAAGAACAATCGTGCATTAACCAGGAGATGAACTACATGACCTAATAAATTGTCGCATCTCTAATTTCTATGAATATGTGTGATATAATGCATTTGTAACAGAGTCCTTATAGTAACATTATTAGTAGATCCTGGAGGCTCCAAGTGAGCTTGAGGCCCCTTTGTACCACAATGCAAACTCTTTGGGGCAGGAACAGTCTTTTTGCTGTGTGTTTGTACAGCACCTAGCACAATGAGGTGCTGATCAATGACCGGGGCCGCTACGTACTGTGATTATACAAATAAATAATAATAATAAATAATAACAACAGATATTGTATGTACACACAATAAGAGACAGTCCCTGCCCCCGGAAGCTTGCAATCAAAATAGACCAAACAAAGGATGGGAGGGGAAACAGAGGCACAGAAAAATGAACATACTTGCCCAAGGTTCACACAGCAGGTCAGTGGCAGAACTGGGAATAGAACTTTTGTATCTTGAGCTCCGAGTCCTGGGCTCTGCATTGTGTTGCCACACAAAGAAAACAGAAGCTGTAAAATAATAAAAAATAAAATAAAATAGATCTAAATAACTCCTATTACATCTAGATAACCAAGATGCTGTTTTTTAAATAAATATTGTTATGTTTTGAGAAGCATTAGTGGGTACGATGGTTTAGCATTTTATTACATATCCTACAGTGACAGCCATTAAAACTTCAGCATTTACCAACAGTTACAACACACTGATATCTGGCAAAAGCTGACTTTATAATGGTGACCATTGCCCATATATATAGTACCTGTAATACTGAAGAGAAAAGACCTCTTTCCATTGAAATCAAGGGTAAAATTTCCATCAACTTCAGTGAAAACAGGATTGGGCTCACAACACCAACTGATCTGCTGTTGCTTCCATTAAAGACAATGGGAAAACTCCAATTCATTATATATTCATTATGTTAACTAGTTTTATTTGTCTAAATTCAAACAGGGTTATTTTGTAGACAAGGATCATAAAATGAGTTTTAAATAGTAGCAATTAGGAATACTGTAGACTTCACATTTTGACTGGGACTGCTAAGCTTTTCTTTTTTATTTTCAAATTAGCCTCATGATTGGCATGACCTTCAATTAACCAGAGCAGACATCTTACGTTCCTCACAAGTAATTTACAAAGTGAAATGGCAGTTGATCCTTTCAAAGAAAGTCCATTCCAGATTATCCAAACTCAGCTAAACTATGTGATAGTTTTGAAACGATGGTAACACACTCTGCCCTCACTTCAGGATCTCTGTTTAATCTAAGTAAGGGTACTTGGTTCCTAGCTGTGATAAAGCTTCATATAATCATTCCTTTTTAATAAGATCAAACATCTTAGAACATCCAAAAGGCTTAATGCCTTTGGGTGGATTGCATTTATCATCAAAGAATGCATAGTCTATTGAATGACATTTGGAAAATAGCTTTGTTTTCTATTTTATTCCCTCACTGGAGTCATACAAAATAGAGGGAATGGGAACATTGTAGATCCCACTGTTCCATAATAAACAAAAACAGTTTTGGTTTTGGCAGCTACGTTTATAGGAATTGTGCATCAGGGCAGAAGTCAGGCAATTCCTCCTTCCTAAAACTAAAAGTGGAAGAAGGTTTAGACAACGCTGTCCATCAAGAAGCAGAGCTCCTTGAAGTGCCCAATTATGTATGATAGAATCCATCAGACACAGGGTCAGACTTACTACAGTTTTAATTAAGTAGGTGATGGGAGAGAAAAATATTGTGGATAATGGAGAAGAGAAGCAGTAGTTGTTAAGATGAAGTGTGCATGTGTAGAGGGGGAGTTACAGAAGCAGAAAGCAAAGAGGAGAGAGACGGAAGAGGTCTTAAAATTGTCAGGTTAGAAGTAGAATGGTGTGGGTGACAATTGTGGGGGATGGCACAATAAAAATGAGGGGTGGGACTTGGAAGATTGAAAGGTACACATAAGGCAGGGGAAGGAGCAAAAGCAAAAATATGACTACGAATATGTTGGGGGCATTGGGTGGCAGTTATATTTCAAAAGCAATGCTCTGCAAAGAAAAGTATCGGCTCTTGTACCGAACACAAACGTTGAGCCCTTGGAGTGATAAATACAACAGGGTATAGCGGAAAGAGAGATTCATTTAAGAAGAACTGTTGTCAAATAACCAGTGTTGGTGTATCTAGGTTGGTCTCAGAATATTACAGAGACAAGATGGGTGACGTAATATCTTTTACTAGACCAACTTCCATTAGTGGAAGGGACAAGCTTTTGAGCTTCACAGAGCTCTTCTTCAGGTTTGGGAAAGGAACTCAGAGTATCAAGAAAGCAGGAAGTCTGGGGAGACTAGTACTGTTTTCTGAGACCTGGCTGCAGCAGGAATAAAAGACCTGTGAGGAGCTCTGTGGGCCTGATCCAGCAAAGTACTTAACTTCAAACACGTGCAGATCCCCTGCTTCCGTGGGACTACTCATGAGCTTTATCTGAATTAGGATCAGAGTGCTCAGCACATGCAGGATCCAGTCCTCTGCCTGTTCCTTCCCTACTGAAATGCTTTTGCTGCTGGTGGTGTTCACTCGCTACATCCAGCAGTTCTTTCATTCTCTGATCTATGGGTCTGATTTTCAGCGGCCTTGTAAGTAGTCCTTTATACAGCTGTGTGAATAATGGATTTTTTGTTTGTTTGTTTGCTGGCAATTCTGAAACATTTTTAAAATGTTTGGGCTGAACCAAAAATGAAAAATTTTCAAAATGTTCAGTGAATTGAAAAGTTGAAATAAATATCATTTTGGGTTGAACAAATCTTTGTGTTTGACCCAAAATGAAATGTTTTGGGTCAATTTTGAGCATTTTAAACCATTTTTCTGCTGTTTTCTAAAATAAAATTAAGGAACATATTGGAGGGAAAGTCATTTTGTTTTTTCACCTTGAAACGTTTTGCTTTTTGAAACTGTCAATACAAATGTTTTCTTTTTTTCTGATTTCTTTTTTTTTTTAGGGTTTTCTTTGACTGAAACAACTTGGCCAAACCAACATGAACTCATGAAATGTTTCAGGGCTGCTGCAGCTGCATTTTGCTCTGAAAAAATGTATTGGATCTGGATGAAAAAAAAATGCCCAGGTCTAGTCATTCACACCTGGGCAAAGTGAAGGCAAAAGGCTGCTGTTCTGAACTGTGTCTCTGCGGAGCAGGAAGCAGCTCAGCCAGGTCACCTTGCCCAATGCCAAACAGTACCAGAGAGCAAGAGTTCCACAAGGCAGGCCTGGAGTGTGTGAAGGGAAGGTTCACGTTGCTGTTGCTTTAAGGTCCCGTCCAGCAAGATGCTGAGCACTGAAGGAACTCATCGCTTCACAGCATCAGTCACGAATGGAACTTTGTGCATCTCTGGCTAGGGTATACTGCTAACCACATGGTATTCATACTAGCTATGAGGGCCAACTGGAAACACATGAGAACTGGTGGACCATTCTGTAAGGCATCATTCTCAACCTTTTCGGGTTGGTGACCCCTTCTTCATGATCCCCTTAATTTACTATAAAAGTTACAACTGTATCAATGATACACATATATAATTAATCCTTGTGTGTGTTTCCAGAAGTTGACAAAGAATACTTGACCTTGAAGAGTAAGGCTTTGTGAGAGAGGGGGAGTGAGACTTTCTCTGTAATACTATTTTCAATGCCTCATGACTCTCCTGTGTGCCTTGTCTGACCCACATGACAATACCAATCCACCAGTTCAGAAACATTGCTGTAAAATATTGGAATAAGTAACAGAGCTCCCTCTAGAGGTGTTTGTAGATTATATCAATTTAAGGACATTCTTGTGTATCATTCTTCCTATTTGATGTTGATAAAAGTTAATCAAAGCCTAGTTCTGTGCATATGCCTCAAATTACAGCTTATGCCCAAGAAACCCTAAGGGTGCTACACACATACAATGCTATTGCATGCTAAGAATAGGATTTACTCTTACACTATGAAGGGAAAGAAGTGTCTCCCGTTGCATTTCCCCTGCCTCACCCCACCCCTGTGCAGTTGAATAGCTGCAGAGCAGATGTCAGGATCAAGCCTTCGTGATTATTTTCTTCAGGTTTTGTTCTATGTGGGTTCGCACACCATGGTTCTGAGCTTTAGGGCAAACCACATTCAAAATCTCAAAGCAAAAGTCATTGAAAGCCACAAATTTCACATCAGAGCCATGAACGTCACATGATTTCAATGAAAAGCATAAATCAATCCAGTTTCTGAACCTTAGAAAATGTTGCAAACTTATCAAGTTTGTAGCTAAACCAAATGAATTTGCCACAGTCCGTGGTTTCATTATGAAAATATCACACCACCCTAATATTAATACCATGCATGGAATACCTTCCCTGATCTAATTTATATTGATATATGTGATCACAGTCCATCTTAAACAGGTAAAAGTTGCTTTTCAAGTGCACTTTTTTACAAATAACTGGCTTCCAGAGTTCAAATTCTAACTTTGTCTCTCTTGTTTACCAGTGTCTGTCTCTGGAATTCTACATAGAACTCTTATGTCCAAACAATATACTGTCTGCATGTAAACATATCGTTATAATCTGTACATCCAAATTTTCCTCCTAAAAGTTTCTTAACACCTACCTCTGATGTGATGCCCTCTACAAATTCAGGCAATTACTGTTTCCGAGGTTATTGGGCAATCAGAGATAGCTGATATAATTTATAGGTTAAAAAGAGTTTTTCAAAATTTCAGAACCATCAGGTTGTGCACATAGCCTACGTAGCCTAAATTTCTTTACGCGTTTCCTATTCATTCACCTGCCCTCCCTTTGTTCCTTATACTTTCATTGCATCTTGTTTCAGTTTGGATTATAAAATCCTCAGAGAAGAGATTGGTAGCTAGATTGGCAAAGGGGGCCTACACGAAGTTTTGCAATGCCAAACTTCAGACACTCTGGCATCCTGAGGTGGTGGTTCCCTTGTCACCACTAGCAGATAGGTAGGTGAACTCAACCAGGATATGGGGGACACAGGTTCAAACCCCTACTCTGTCTGATTTAAACCCAGGTCCCCCACCAGTGGGCTAGGGGGTATTCTGGGGTACGTGTCTTTCATTGTCTCCTGTTGAGGCTGTTCTATTTTATATAAGTAGAACATAGGAACTTCATTGGAGCAGGGACTGGAATCTGGGTCTCCCATCACTAGCCTATATAGTCATTCTCTCTCTCTCTCTCTGACCCAGATCCCTTTGTGGATCTAGCCCTGTGTGTTCTGTCTTCCCATATGTTTTACAGCATCTAACAACTTACTCCAGTCCTAGCACATGAGTGCAAATAATGGCCAACATTCTGTAATGAATTACATCATGTTCAAGCCCTCTGAATCCACAATAACTAAAATTAAATTACAACTGTCTAATTAAAGGGACTGAGTACATTTTGTGACACATTACCCTTGCTTTTTATTTTTTGGGATACTTTGGGTCCAGTCCTACATTCTTCATATTGTTTTTGAGGAATATAATAGTAAGATGCCACTTTTTTCTATTTTCTGTTCCTTATATATTTCAATCAATGGGAATTTTGAGTTTGCCAGCAAATATGTCAAAATTAGTAGTGGGGCGTCTGGTCCATAGTGTAGGCTCTGCATCACTTGTTGGGTCACCAGGTAATTAAATATTTCTGGGTTGCCATGTAATTAAATATTTCTGATTTGGCAGAACTGACAAAAGACAACACATCCAATGTTACCACTTTTTTTAAAAGAAGAAGAAGAAGAAGAACTGAATTATAAATGTTCTGAATCAAATGGCCTAATCAGACTTCCTTGGATTCAGATTTTATTGAATAATAAGTAGTATCTCTTTACTTCATAGAATCTTAAACTATTTGCAGCTTCCCATAACTATGAAATACAGAATGAAAATAAGATGTGACTAATCCTGATGAGATTACATTTAATACACTAAAATGGCTGCAGACAGAGAATTCTCTCAATGCAGCTTTATATATTAAAAAAGTATTCTCTTTATCCCCGCAACCTTTAAAACTACTAACATTGAGTGGCATATATGACAGATCCAACTGAATAAACTACACAGATGAGACTTGACTGAAGGAGATCTTAAAACTGCAATGATGCATATACTGTATAAAACTGACAAGATTACAGAAGGCATAGCCCCTATTTAGATTTATTTAATGATAAAAATATATTCCTTTTTAATGTGTACATCTTGTAAAAACTTCAGGAGAGGAAAAAGAAAAGATATGGGTGATCTGACTGAATATACTTTTGAGAATAATGAATCTTGACTGAAAGCCATTGTAACAGAGCAGGGCTACATGCTACATAACCAGAAGACAGGGCTTCCGTGAATAAAACTGATAAAATGCCTTGAATCGGATGCCAAACCTACACCACCTAATGACAGATCAACTTGCGTTTCCCAAACCTGAAAGAAAAGGGTTTTTTTTTCCAACTGCTCAGAACCAATTCTAGCAATAAAACACAGAATTTAGAGAGTAACTCTTCCATCACAGTGACAAGCACATCATATTTCTGAACATGGAATTTGGATAGTAAGCATGGCTTGTGAATGTGAA